TGGTTGAAGCTCTGAGCTCTAACTGGTTGAAGCTCTGAGCTCTAACTGGTTGAAGTTAATTTGCTGTTTGCTCCATCACTCTTGCTCCCATAGCACCATATTAATATCCCCATTTTCATATTTTTCATTTGTAGTTCAGCTCTTTACATGATGCCACCGTCTTATACTGTGAGAACTTTAATGATCAAAGAACTTACCTGCAGACCTTTGGGGAAAGTTACTCAACTTGCCTAAGTCTTAGTTCCCTACTTTAAATAAAGATAAATACAGATACAGAGCTAGATGGTATATTTTGTTGTTGTTGTTGTTAAGTGCTGTTGAGTCAGTTCTGACTCATGGCGACCTTGTATAGGGTTTCCAAGGAGTGGCTGGTGAGTTTGAACTGCCAATCTTGTGGTTCAAATCAACCTCGTGGTCCAGTGCTTTATCCCACAGTGCCACATCTATACATATATAGTGCCTACTTTGTTATTGTTGCTCTTAAGTGGCTTTAAGTTGGCTCCTACTCACAATGACCTTGTATAGGGTTTACGAAGCCTTTAAATCTTTGTGGGAGCAGAAAGCTTCATCTTTATCCCACAGGCTCAAATAGCAAACCTTGTTGTTCACAGTCTAGTACTTATCATACGGAGCCAAGACACTCCCCATAGTGCCTATTTAGTAAGTGGTGATCATAACAATGCCTACCCTAAAGGAGTTATGGTGTGGCACTGTGGGTTAATGTGCTGGACTGCAAGGTCTGATTGAACCTCAAGATCAGTGGTTCAAGCTCATGAGCCACTCCTTGGAAATCCTATACAGGGTTGCACTTAAGGCTTGTTATTGGCACTGAGATATATATCACACATTAAGTCCTCTGCACATTGACCAGCACATAGTAAACATTTACTATACGAGGTATGTGAACAATGAGTCTATTTCAGTTTCTTCTCTGTGTGCTCAACGACTAACAAAAACCCTGGTATAATATAGGGACACAGTGAAAGTTAGTTGAAGGAACCAACGAAAGAACTGGTCCATCAATCACCCAATGCTGTACCCCTAGCAAGTTCTGTCTAGACCATGTGAGATCCAGGTCCAGAACCATTAACTCAGTACAGAGCCACAAAGCCTCATCCCGAGACTACAAACCTCAAATTCCACCAGTGCCTGTTCCAGGTTCTTAGATATCTCATTAAGCTTTTCAACGTTGTTCTTCATTTCTTCTGTGGTCATCACTTCTCGCTTCCTGAAAGCTTCCAGTTCCTTGTTGTAGCCCTCGAGCTTTGACTGAAATTCTGAACATCTTAAAGCAAAGAGAGCCGAGTCATATTTAGACTTTCCATGTTGTGCATTTTCAAAGTATTGTTCACCCATATTCAAGCCTGGGGAGAATCTGATCTTCCGGGACCCACATTTATAGGTGTATATGTGTGTGTGTGTCTATTTAAATTGTTAATTGTAGATAAATATAAGACAATAAATGAAGTGGAAAAACAATTTAAACAATGTATACTCCCACCTGCCAGAGGAGACCTATTAATGATGAAAAATTTCCACAGATTTTCTTATACATGTAAATATAGATAAAGTATGTGTATATGCATACAAGGACCCCTAGTGGTGCTGTAGGGTAAGCACTGAACTTCTAACTGCAAGTAAGCAGCTCAAATCCAGCAGCCACTATGTGGGAAAAACATAAGGCTTTCCACTTCTGTAAAAATTTACAACTTCGGGAATCCTTACACAGGGTTGCTATGAGCTGGAACCGACTTGGTGGCACGTAACAGCAGTAGTGTATAAATGGATGGGTGGATGGGTGGAGGGATGATGGATCCATAGCTAGATCAAGATGAACGGAGACAAGCTATCTAGTAGTATATGTTAAGTGCTCTGAAAAAACAGAGCAGGGCACAGTGGCTGGTGTGTGAAAACGGCAGGCTGTTTTATCAAGAGTCATCAAGGAAGCCCTTTCCAGAGATTTATCTACTTTATCTACATTATCAGCAAAGCAGATTTCAAATCTACTTCTTCCTGTTCCTAACAATGAAGAATACAGTGTTCAGTGCACAGGATTGCTGGTGTGGTGCTGTAGGATAAAGCACTGGACCGAAAGGTCGGTTAGAACCACAAGGTCGGTGGTTCAAACTCACCAGCCACTCTTCAGAAACCATATACAGGGTTGCTATAAGTCGGAGCTGACTGGACGGCCCTTAACAACAAGTGCACAGGCTCTTCAAATTCGCATTCTGTTACTTATTCACTATATGACCTTAGGCACTTAATAGCTCTACAGCTCAGACAGAGGCCTGTCTATGGAAAATTGTGTCTATGGCAATGAGTTTGAACTTGCTGAATGACGGTTCACAGCTGGTGATAGCAACTGTAATGGTAAATAGAAACAGCCATGCCCCCCACCCCCACCCCACCCCCCAAAAATGGGTGTCCAGGGCACGTGCCATACCTGCCACACCTTAGACAGGACTCTAACCTCAGATTAGATATGGAAATCAACTCCCTATTTCAAGATTTAATGAAAATTCATTTTAATGTTTAATATTCTTCCTAAGATAGCGATTATTGTTGGGTACCATCAAACTGATTACTGCTTATAGTGACCCTATGCCGTCCTCACAAATTGTCGTTATGTTGGAGACCATTGTTGCTCCCACTATGTGACTCTAGCTTGTTTGGGGCTCTTCTTCTTTTACACTGACCCTCCACTTGTCGGAGCATGATGTCGTTCTCCAGGGACTGGTCCCTCCTGAATATGTCCATAGTACAAGAGATGATGTCTCACTATCCTCACTTCTAAGGAGTATTCTGGCTGCACTTCCTCAAAGACAGATTTGTTTGTTCTTCTGGCAGTCTATGGTATTTTTAATATTCTTTGCCAACACCATAATTCAAACACATGAATTCTTTTACAGTCTCCCTTATTCATTGTCCAACTTTTACATGCAGATGGGGTGATTGAAAATATCATGGCTTGAGTCTGGCACACTTTAGTCCTCAAACTGATATCTTTGCTCTTGAATACTTTAAAGAGGTCTCATGCAGCAGATTTGCCTAATGCAATATGTCCTTTGATTTCTTGGCTGCTGCGTCCATTAGCATTGACTGTGGATCCAAGCAAAGTGAAGTCTGACAACTTCAATCCTTTCTTCACTTATCAGGATGCCATTTATTGGTCCACTTGTGAGGATTTGCATTTTCTTTACATTGAGGTAGAGTCCATGCTAAACACTCTAGTTTTTTATCTTTCTCAGTAAGTATTTCAAGTCCTCTTTGGTTACAGCAAGCAAAGTTGTGTCATCTGCATATCACAGGCTGTTAATGAGTCTTCCTCTAATCCTGATGCTACATTCTTCTTCATATAACCCAGCTTCTCAGATTATACAGATTGAATAAGTATGGTGAAAGAATATAACCCTAGCACACACCTTTCCTGATTTTAAACCATTCAGGGTCCCTTTGTTCTATTTGAATGACTGTATATGTATAGGTTTCTCATGAGTACAATGAACTGTTCTGGAATACCCAGTCTTCAGAATGCTATCCATAATTTGTCAATGATCCACATAGTCAAAAGCCCTTTCATATTAACAAAGCACAAGTAAACATCTTCCTTGTATTTATGTTCAGCCAGATCCATCTGACATCGGTATTGATAGCCCTAATTCCACATCCCCTTCTGAATTCAGCTTGAATTTTTGGCAGCTCCCTGTCAATGTACTGCTACAATAGTTTTTAAATTATCTTCAGCTCAATTTTGCTTGCATGTGATATTAATTATATTGGTTGATGATTTTCACATTCCATTGGGTCATCTTTTTTTTTTTTTTGAAATGGGCACAGATACGGATCTCTTCCAATCAACTGGCCAGGTAGTTGTCTTCCAAATTCCTTGACATAGACCAGTGAGCGTCTCCAGTGCTGCATCAGTGTGTTGAAATATTTCAATTTGAAGTCTTGTTTTTCATCAATGCTTTCAGTGCTGTTTGGACTTCTTCCTTCAATACCACTGGTCATATGGTACCTCTTGAAATGGTTATTTTGCCCATAGAATCCTTCAACATTAAAACCCGAGGTTTGAATTTTTTCTTCAGTTCTTTCAGCTTGAGAAATGCTGAGCGTGTTCTTCCTTTTTGTTTTTCAAACTGTAGGTCTTTGTATATTTGGCTTTGTCTTCTCGAACTGCCCTGTGAAATGTTCTGCTCTGCTTTTTAACTTCATCTTTTTTTTCCAGTCACTTTAGCGTTTCTACACTGAAGAGTAAGTTTCAAAGTCTCTTCTGTCATCCCCTTTGGTCTCTCCCCACCCCCCATCCCATCTTTTAATGACCTTTTGCTCTCTTCATGAATAATGTTCTTGATGTCATCCCACAATTATTCTGTTTTTTGGTCATTAATATCTACTAACACATTAAATCTGTTCTTCAGATGCTCTCTAAATTCAGATGGGATATATTCAGCTCTTGTGAGCTTGTTTTAATTTTCTTCAGCTTCAGCCTGAACTTGCATATGTTCCACAGTCTGCCCCTGATCTTGTTTTGGCTAATTAAGTTAAGCTTCTCCACTATTCACTTCTCCTGAGTATTTCATCTGGTGTGTCCAGATGTATAGCTGCCTTTTATATTGTTTAAAAAGGGATTTGCAAGGAATAAGTCCTTGGTCTTGCAAAATTCTATCATGTGATCTCCAGGATTGGTTGCATTACCAAAGACTAAAATTTCCAACTTCAGATCCTTCCTCTTTGTTTCCAATTTTCACATTTCAGTCACTATTAATTATTAATGCATCTTAATTGTGTATTTGATCAATTTCAGACTGAAGAATTTAGTAGAGTTCTTCACTTTCATCACCACTGTCTTTAGTGTTTGGTGTGTAAATTTCAATAATAGTGGGTTTTTGTTTTTTTTGTAGGCATATGGGTATTATCCTATAACAAACAGCATTGTACTTTTAGATCTTGAAATGTTCTTTTTGATGATAAATGCAATACCATTCCTCTTTAATTTGTTGCTCCCAGTATAGTAAACCATAGGATTTTGAGATTCAAAATGGGCAATACCAGTCCATTTCAGCTCACTAATGCCTACGATATTGATCTTTATATATTCCATTTCATTTTTGGTGACTTCTAATTTTCCTAGTGTGGTGCTGTAGGATAAGTACTATACTGCGAACAAGGTCAGCATTCCAACCCACCAGCTGCGCTTTAGAAACTCTATACAGGGTCGCTATGAGTCAAAATTGACTCAAAGGCACTTAAGAACAACTTTCCTAGATTCATACTTTATACATTCCATGTTTTAAATTTTAATGGATGTTTTCAGCTGCTTTTTCTCATTTTTAGTTATGGCTCCTTCAGCAAATGAAAGTCCCAAAAGCTTAACTGCATCCGCATTATTAAGGTCAAGTCTACTTTGAGGAGGCAGCTCTTTCCAGTCCTATTTTCGGTGCCTGGAAAGCCAAGGGGCTCATCTTCCAGCATTCTGTCTGATAATGCTCTCTCTGCTGCTATTCAGAAGGTTTCAGTGGGTAACCATTCAGAAGGGGTCTGCCTCTCCTTCTGCCTAGTCTGTCTTAGTCTGGAAGAGCCACTGAAACCTGTCCACCATGAATGACCCTGCTGGTATTTAAAATATCAGTGGCATATCTTCCAGCATCACTGAAATACACAAGCTTCAACAAACTGACAGACGAGTGGCGGTCATACTAAGATAGCATATGCAAATTTCTTAGATGTAAGACTGGTAGATATTTAATAAGGAAACACACAAAACTCTTAGAATTGAGTCTGGTATACAGTGATTCCTATATAAGTACTCCCACTCACTCACTGGAATATAATCTCTATGAATGTAGTTTTTGTCTCTTTGATTTCTTGTTTTGGCCCCAGCACTTAGAAAAGTAAGAGATTCTACCATTGAGAATAGCTCTAGTGACATGGAGTCCTGGTGTGGTGCTGTGGGTTAATGCACTGGACTGCAAGGTCGCTTTGAACTGCAAGTTCAGTGGTTCAAGCTCACCAGCTGCTCCTTGGAAACCTTACACAGGGTTATAAATTTGACAGCACTTCACAACAACAACATAGTGACATGCCAAAAGTTTGCTATCTAGTGTGCCCATTATTTTGTAAGCATTTTTATGGTAGTTTCAATTTTCTTTTTGTCCTTAAAGATCATAAAGTTGATTTTCAAGTCCACCATTGCATCGGTGGCTTGTATGTTGCCAGCATGATGGAAACTAGGCTGCTGGTATTTTAGATACCAGCAGAGTCATCCATGGTGGACAGGTTTCCACACAACTTCTAGCCTAAGGCAAACTGTCAATAAGAACGATATGGATCACAACATAACATTGTCCCACTTGCCTGAGCATGTCATCAAGAAGGATCAATCACTGAAGGAGGAGATCACATTCAGTGACGTAGGGCGTCACTGAGGATAAGGGACATGGAATGGCTTAATAGCTAGAACGATGAACTCAAACATGTTAGTGATGGTGAGGGGGACAAAGAACGAGGAGACATGTGCTTCTGAAGGTCATCATCAGTCAGAGTCAACATGACAGCAGTTATCAGTCGAATTTCCAAGTGGTCTGATTTGGGTTTTATTACAACTTGAAGTGTGTGGCATCCAGCCTCTAAGAGCCCACTGATCCGTTATCTTCTGCGATTCCCACCCTTGTGTAACTCTTTCCCCTTATGTGTGGGCTAGACTGACTGACTCTCATTCAGTAAAAAATATAGCAAACAGGATGGGATGACATGTTTTACTGAGTTATGGAAAGACTATGACGTCTTTCTCTTAGCCTTTCTTGCCCCCCAGGAGAGCCAGCTGCCATATTGGGAGCTACCTTATTTGAGATGCCAATGAGACAAAGAAGTCTGGGCAGTTTCTGGCTAACAGTCTGCAGTCAACTCAGTTCTCCAACAATCCTGTGAGTCAGTGTGGAAACAGATCCTGGGAAAAGAAGGCTACATTTCTTGGGAGGGAACATAACTGCTTTCCCAGATGGTGAATGAATATTGTTTTGACTCCTCATACAGGATCATCCTCTACACTGATGCAAAATTTTGGGCATGAGGGCTGCAGGTCTCTCCTGAGTCTTTTCTAGAGCCGTTCCTCTGCTGACCTCTGCTGTTCTGAGCTCAGGAAGCCATTGGACAGATTAAGCAGAACATTTTCCCAGTCACCCCTGTGTCTTTTAACTTTAATGGCTCCACCGTCTCTAATTAGTCTCTCTCAGTTTACGGTGAAGTTATGTTCTAAAAGCATGCTTTCAAGGTGGTGGTTTGGATGTTGTGATTTTTCTCTCAAGATAAGTATTGTTAAAGGAAGAGGAAGTTGATAGCTTTAAAACCTTATCATGTCCTGGATAGAATCTATGTACAGTCTCAGATCATCTTTAACCGTTTATTGTGATATGGGTGAGATGATATCTCATTGTTGTTTTGATGTGCATTTCTCTAATGGCTAATGATTATGAATAGTTCTTCCTGTGTTTGTTGGCTGCCTGGATCTCTTCCTTGGTGAAGTGTCTGTTCATTTCCTTTGCCCATTTTTTAATTGGGTTGTTTGTCTTTTTCTTGTAGAGGTATTGTAATTTTCTATAGATTTCAGAGATTAGTCCCTTGTCTGATGTGTTACTGTAAAAACAAACAAACAAAAAACTTTTCCCAGTCTGTGGGCTTTTCTGGCTAAATCTTTTGATGCACGTGACTTTGTAATTTTTAGGGGGTCCCAGTCATCTATTTTGACTCTTGCTGTTTGTATGTTTTAAATAATGTTTGACAGTGTCTTTCTGCCATGTATTAGAACCCCTAAGTGGGTCTCTATTTTTTCATTGATGATCTTTATAAGTCTAAGCTTTACATGTGAGTCTTTTATCCATGCTTTTTTGGGCTTGCTATTGTAGAAGATAGGGGTCTTGTTTCAGTCTTCTGCAAACAGATTTCCAGTGTTGCCAGCACTATTTGTTGAAGAGACTGTCACTTCCCCTTTTAATATGTTTTGGCCCTTTGTCAAAGATCAGCTGACTGTATGCGGATGGATGTACTCCCAGATTTTCCATTTTGTTCAATCAATCTGTGTATCTTTCATTGTACCAGTATCAGGCTGTTTTGACCACTGACTGTGTAGTGAATTTTGAAATCAGGGAGTGAGAGGCCTCCAACTTTGTTGTTGTTCTTATGCAATGCTTTGCTTACCTGAGGTCTCTTTCCTGTCTGTATAAAGTTAGTGATTCATTTTTTAATCACTTCAAAGAATAGTGTTGGAATCTGGACCGAGATTGCATTATATCTATAGAGTTCTTTGGGTTGTGTTGACAGTTTCACAATGTTAAATCTTCCTATCCATGAGCATGGTATGGTCTTCCATTTTTGTAAATCTCTTTTGGTTTCTTGTAGTACTGTTTTGTAGTTTTCTTTGTGTAGGTATTCTGTTTATCTAGTCAGATTTATTCCTAAATATCTTATTTTTTGGGTGGCTATTGTAAATGGTATTGTTTTCCTAATTTCTTTTTCAGAGCTGTCTTTATTAGTATAGAAGAATCCAACTGACTTTTGTACACTGATCTTATATCCTGCTACCTTGCTGAATCTTTCCAATAATTTTCTTGCTGACTCTTTGGGATTTTCTATGTATAGGATCATATCATCTGCAAAGAGATTTTTACTTCTTTGCCAGTTTGGATGCCTTTAATTTCCTTTTCTTTCCTTAAAGGTCTGGCTAAGACTTTCAACACAATATTGAACAGGAGTGGTAAAAAAGGACATTCTGTTTGGTTTCTGTGTGCAAAGGTAATACTTTTAATTTCTCTCCATTGAGGGTCGTGTTGACTGTTTGTATTGTTGTTGTTAAGTGCCGTTGAATCAATTCCAACCCATAACGACCCTGTATAGAGTTTCCAAGGAGCAGCTAGTGAGCTTGAACCACCGACCTTGCAGTTCAAACGACTTTGCTGTCTGACACATTAGCCTACAGCACCACACCAGGACTCCTACACCCTTAATTATGTTGTGGAATTTCCCCTCAGGTCCTATATTTTTGAATGTTTTCATCAAGAATGGATGGTGGATTTTGTCAAAAGCATTTTCTGAATTAATTCATATGATCATGGGATTCTTTTCCTTTGTTTTATTTACATGGTGGACGATGTAGGTTGTTTTCCTTATATTGTACCACCCTTGCATCCCTGGTATAAATTCCACATGATGTCTTTTTTTTTTAATATGTTGAATTCTATTGGCTAGGATTTTACTAAGAATTTTGTCATCTATGTTATGAGAGTGATTAGTCCATAATTTTATTTTTTAGTGATTTCTTTGCCTGGTTTGGTACGAGAGTTATGCTTACTTCATAAAATGACCAGGCCTGTCTTTGGAGGTACCTCTAGGTGGGTTTGAACATCCAGCCTTTCAGTTAGTAGTTAAGTATTTAGCTATTTGTACAGCCTTGGAAAGCCTTTACAAGGTCGCTATGAGTTGGAACCGACTCATGGACTTCTAGGAACAGTATATGGTGATTATGTGCCATGGAGTCAGTTCCGATTCATAGCAACCCTGCATAGGGTTTCCAAAGCTGTGAATCTTTACAGGAGCAGAAAGCCTCATCTTCCTCCCATGGAAAGCTGGTAATTTTGAACTGCTGACCTTGAAGTTAGCAGCCCAACTCATAACCACTATGCCACCAGAGCTCCTTGAGTGTGTGTATAACCAAACATCAAACCTACTGCCATTAAGTCAATTCTGACTCATAGCAACTCTATTAAAGGAGGGGAGCAATTGACTTTGCAGTCCAGGAGTGGAGGTCCCTGGGACCATCAGGGGAGAAAAGTGGAGTGTGGGACCCTACCCAGAGAAACAGTGACACCAGAGATAGAGGCTGAGATGACAATGTGGAGAAATGGAGTGGCTGGAGACTCAAGACCCAGAGAGGGAGAAGGGCTGTGTGCTGACGACGGAGGGGCAAGCTTGCCTTTGGTTGGTTGATGATGCATGGAGGGGATTGTAACCATGGCAATGAAATGATATACGATAGGATGAATGTAAAGCTAATGTTCTCCCATGTCAACTATCACATAATTCAAAATAAAACATTAAAAAAAAAGATAATGGCATTTTTCTACAAACTTTTTAAAAGTTCTCCCAATATGGATGCATTGTTAATATAATATACATTGGGGCTAGTTATGGACTGTGAACCACAAGATCAGCAGTTCAAACCCACCTGCTACTCCTAGGAAACCCTGTGCAGGATCACTACGAGTTGGAATCAGAGTTTATTAACAACATATATATATCTTTTTTTTTTTTTCTTTCTTTCTTTATTTCTTTTCCTTTTTGCTTGGCAATAGACATAGGCTGTATTTTGAGGGTAGCAACCATATCAACCAAATAGCTTTACTCTTAGGCCCAAATGCTCAAAGCGGCTCTTTTCTCAATGTAGGCAATTTCAACAAGAGGTTTAAAGAAAAGGATCTTGAAATCCTGGCTTTTACTTGCCTTTTTCCTTTCTCAAGAATATTTGCAGGGATTGTGGCAGCTAAAGGTGGGCAGTGGGAATTTCACGTGTGATGGGGGCAGGATCTGAATCTGTGATTCATAAACTAAGTGGAGTGTATGTGTGTTCCTGCTATATTCATTGTACTTGGCCCACATTCCTTGGCACTGCCTGATTTTTCAGAATGTCTTCCTTGTCTCCATCAGATTAAAATCTTTGTTTACTAGCCTAACACACATATGTATCTAGAAGATAGTACAAAACATAGTAAATGCTTCATAGTAAATACTGGGGGACTTGACAAACAATGACTATGTGATTAGAGCCACATTATCACCCAACAAGACCAGCTGCAGAGCAGGCAATTTCTCAGGCTCTTGCCACGCCCTTATTATCCCTGCCTTGCTAGCTCCCAGATTCACAATCTGTAGTGTAAGGCTGACAATGGTGCTATTATTATTTATTGCAGAAGGTGTTCTTTTTGCCCTTTCTTTCTGTGCAAATTGTAATAATTGAAGGCAGGAAGGGAAGATACGGGGGCAGGGATACTCCAGGAAAGCAGGGTTAATGAGGACAACCATCAGCTGGCAGCAAAGGGAAAGGCCTTCCCCACCAATTGTTTTCAGCTGGGAGTGGGGGCTGAGGGGCTCTAGACAGAACCAGGAAACCTGCAGCAGGGGCTATGAAGCTCCAAGCAACCCCATCCATACCTTTTAATCAGGTCCATCTCCGCCTGATCCCTTCTGTTGTAGAGCAGGTTTCGACTGTTTTCAAAGATATCTTCAATTTGGTCCGGCCAGAGGAACAGAGTGCTGTTTAACTTGATGTCATCATCTGCAAAACACAGACAGTCTGTGCTAGGACTCGGTCCAGGTCAGCATGTGGCGAGTTAGTCCAGCAGCAAAGTGGTACAGAGGAGTGGGGGTGGGTGACAATGAGCGGATGGACGAGGTGCAGGTGCATTTCTGAATGACTAGGGCTGTCTCCCAAGCCCAGTATGAATGAACATTTACTGAGCACTGACAAAGGGCCGGGCCAGAAGGCAGATGGTATGATCACCCCTGTTTTTGTAGGTGATGGCCAGTCACTGGAGAAGGATATCATGTCTGGTAAGGTGGAGGGTCAGAGAAAAAGAGGAAGACCCCCAATGAGATGGATTGGCCAAGTGGCAGCATCGATGGACTCAAACCTGGCAAGAGTAGTGAGGTTGGCCCAGGATCGGGCAGTGTTTCATTCTGCTGTGCATAAAGTTCGCTATGGGTCGGTACCAACTCGATGGCATCTAACAACAACAACAAACACAGATGTGAAGCCAAGTGGTCAAGTTCAACCTGGGCTATGAGTTGAATTGTGTGTCCCAAAATAAGTGGTATCCCTCAGATCCACGATCTGCAGCGTAAGACTGCCAATGTTGCTATTATTTGTTATTGCAGAAGTCTTGTCTTCCTACACGGCCAAACTGCAGTTGTTTACAGCAGACAGGGAAGACATTGGATATGATCCTGTTTGAGAATGGGGATTTCTTTAGATCTCTAATAGTCAGAGTTAGGTTTATATGGTGCCTGGACTATCATATGTTTGGGATGAGTGGTAGCTATTATCATCCCTGGAGTCCCTAGGTGGTGCACACCATTAACACACTTGTCTGCTAATCAAAAGACTAGAGGTTCAGGTTCACGCAGAGGTGCCTCAGAATAAAGGCCTGGCAAATAACCGACGTCCCAAAAATCAGATATTGAAAACCCTATGGAGCAAAGTTCTACTTTCACACACACGGGAGGCCATGGTTCGGAATCAACTCGACAGCTACTGGTTTATTATTATCATTAATTTGCTGATGACTTTCTAATGTGTGTTTTGTAAACCTTAAAAGTACTATACAATGTTACAAAATACAAATGAATAATACAATGTTGTTGTTAGGTTCTAATGAGTCGATTTCCAACTGCAACCCCATGTGACAGAGGCTTCCCTGTAGAGTTTTCTTGGCCCCTTTAAAGGTGAGGCTGTATTACGATTATAGATGAGTGTAATCTATCCATTTATGAAAAGCGTTCTGTGTTTGTAAATGGGTTTTCCAAGAACACCAGGTACAAGATTCCTAGACAGACATTTAAGAACTCGAGGTCAAGTCTCTAGATAGCTCTTTTTGTCTAACAAGCTTCCTTTTTTATTATTAATTATTATATAAGAATGTAGAATTAATGCCTCTAACATGGGCCACCTAGAAAACCGGCTCTTTAGTAGCAGGCTTACTATTATTCCTCTTCCTCTTCCTCCCTACCCATACTATACATAAATGGCGTCCTGGTGTGGTGGATTACAAGGTCAGTTTGAATCACAAGATCACCAGCTGCTCCTTGGAAACCCTATACAGGGTCACTACAAGTTGTAACTGACTCGACAGCACTCAACAAAAATAATGTGTGTGTGTGTGTGTAGCACGGTACTTACGGGGCAAATCTGCATAGTCCAACAAAAACTCTAGCCGTTCAATTGCATCTCTAAGTTGCCTCCTGAGTTTGAACACAGTGACTTCACTGGATTTCTTTAAGAATGCCAGGAGAAATACCAGCTCCTCGGTGTTGGCGGGAATTTCACTGACTTTGTCTGCGATGATGCTGTACTGATTACAGATGCTACAGGGACAGAAACAGTTATCATCACCATCACCATCACCACCATCATCTTTATGAGCAGACATGATGCCTGTTGACAACTTTTTTTCATCTGCAAATCCTTGATGGACAGTACTTACGTGCACATCACCCATACCAAACCTGCTGACACTTTCATGTCATTTCTGACTCAGAGCAGCCCCTATAAGCAGAGCTGAATGGATCCACAGTTTCCAAGGCTGTAATCTTTATGGAAACCGATTTCCACATCTTTCTCCTGTGGAGCAGCTGGTGGACTCAAACCACTGATGTTTCAGTTAGCATATGAGCACTTAACCACTGCACCACTAGGGTTCTTATGCATATTACACTCCAGTAATAATAGTAATCATATCTGACATGTAGTAAGCCCTAGTCCTGGTGTGGCACTGTGGGTTAATGCACTGAACTGCAAAGTTGGTTTGAACCACAAGGTTCGAACTTACCAGTTGCTTCTCGGAAAGCCTACAACTGGTCGCTATGAGTCAGAACCGACTTGGCGGCACTTCACAATAAAAACAACAACAGCTGACTCTGAAGCCCATATCATTGATATTTGCATGGGACTGCCTTGGAAACCCTGTACAGGGTCGCTGTGAGTTGGAACCGACTCCACAGCACATAACAACAACAACAACCTCATGGCAGGTGGAGGTAACGGTGTGCCGTGGAGTTGGTTCTGACTTATAGCAACCCTGTATAGGGTTTCTGTGGCTGTAAATCTTTACCAGAGAAAAAGCCTCATCTTTCTCCTGTGGAACAGATGGTAGTTTCAAACTGCTGACCTTGAGGTTAGCAGACTGACTTGTAACCACTACACTACCAGAGCTCCTTACTGCATGGGTAGAACCTACATTTTGTGGTTGTTGTTAGGTGCCATCAAGTTGGTACCAGTTCATAGCGACCTTATGCACAGCTGAACAAAAAATTGACCAATCCTGAGCCAACCTCACTATTGTCACGCTTGACCCCATCGATGCTGCCACTTTGCCAATCCATCTCGCTGGGGGTCTTCCTCTTTTTCTCTGACTCTCCACCTTACCAAACACGATGTCATTCTTCAGTGACTGGTCAAAGTATGAGAGACAAAGTTTGGCCATCCTGGCCTCCAATGAGCACTCTGGCTGCACTTCTTCCAACACAGATCTGTTTGTTCTTTTGGCATACCATGGTACTTTCAATATTCTCCTCCAACACCATAACTCAAAGGCATCAATTCTTCTATGGTCTTCCTTATTCACTGTCCAGCTTTCACATGCATATGAGGTAACTGAAAATACCATGGCTTGGGTCAGGTGCACCTTAGTCCTCAATCTGACATCTTTGCTCTTCAACACTTTAAAAAAGTCTTGTGCAGCAGATTTGCCTAATGCAATACATCATTTGATTTCTTGACTGCTGCTTTTGTGAATGTTGATAGTTGATCCAAGAAGAATGAAGTCCTTGACAACTTCAATCTTTTTTCTCCATTGATAACAATATTGTTTATTGGTCCAGTGGTGAGGATTTTTGTTTTCTTTACATTGAGATGTAATCCATACTAAAGGCTGTGCTCTTTAATTTTCATCAGTAAATGTTTTAAGTCTTCTTCACTTTCAGCAACCAAGGTTGTATCATCAGCATATCTCAGGCTGTTAATGAGTCTTCCTTCAATCCTGATGCCATGTTTTTCTTCATATAACCCAGCTTCACAGTTTTGCTCAGCATACAGGTTGAATAAGTACAGTGAAAGAATACAACCTTGTCGCACACCTTTCTTAATTTTAAACCATTCAGTGTTCCCATGTTCTGTTCGAACAACTGCCTCCTGGTCCAGGTACAGATTCTTCATGAGCACAATTAAGTGTTCCAGAATACTCATACTTCGCAATGTTGTCCATAGCTTATTATGATCCACACAATTGAAAGACTTTGCATAGTCAATAAAGCACAGGTAAACATCTTTCTGATATTCTCTACTTTCAGCCAAGATCCATCAGACATCAGCAATGATATCCCTTGTTCCACGGCCTCTTCTGAATCCGGCTTGAACCTCTGGAAGTTCTCTGTCAATGTATGCTTATAGCCATTTCTGTATTACTTTTTGTAAAACTTTACTCACATGGGATATCAAAGATATTCCATTGGGTCACCTCTCTTTGGAATGGGCACAACATGGTTCTCTTCCAATCAGTCGGCTGCATAGTTGTCTTCCAAATTTCTTGGCAGAGATGAGTGAGTGCCTTCTGTGCCACCTCACTTTCTTGAAAGATTTCAAGTTTTATTCCATCAGTTCCTGGTGCCTTGTTCTTTGCCAATTCCTTCAATGCACCTTGTACTTCTTCAGTATCATTAGCTTTTGATCATATGCTACCTCTTGAAATGGTTGAACAGTAACCATTTCCTTTTGGTACAGTGAGTCTGTATTCCTTCCATCTTCTTTTGATGCCCTCTGCATCATTCAATAATTTGCCCAGAGAATCTTTCAATAATGAAAGTCAAGGCTTGAATTTTTTCTTTAGTTCCCCCAGCTTGAGAAATGCTGAGCGTGTTCTTCTGTTTTGGTTTTCTGACTCCAGATCTTTGCACATTTTGTTGTAATATTTGGCTTTATCTCCTCGAGCTGATCTTTGAAATTTTCTGTTCAGCTCTTGAACATCTTCCATCTGAGAGCAAGTTTCAGTGTCTCTTCTGACATCCATTTTGACCGATTCCTTCTTTCTTGTCTTCTTAATGACTTTTTGCTTTCTTCTTGTGTGATGTTCTTGATGTCATCCCAAAACTCTTCTGGTCTTTGGTCTTTAGTGTTCAATGTATCAAATCTGTTCTTCAGATGATCTCTAAATTCAGGTGGGATATATTCAAGGTCATACTTTGGCTTTCATGGACTTGTTTTCATTTTCTTCAGCTTCAGTTTGAATTTGCATATGAGTAATTGATGGTCTGTTCCACAGTCTGCCCAGGCCTTATTTTGACTGATGATATGGAGCTTTTTCATCTTCTTTCTGCAGATGTAGTCAATTAGATTTCTATGCATTCTTTCTGGTGAGGTCCATGTGTATAGAATCTACATTTAGCCCCTCAAATATTATATTGAAATAGAGGAGTAAATTAATTTTTAATCACTACTGTTAATAGTACACCACAACGTGTGTGCAGTTCAAGCCCAGCAGCTGCTCTGCTGGAGAACGGTGAGGCTTTCTGCTTCCAAAAAGATGTAAAAAGCCTGGGAAGCCCTATGCAGGTTCGCTGTGAGTTGGAATTGACTCAACAGTATTTAACAACAACAAGGTCGATCTGTAGGGTAAGCACTGGGCTGCAAACCACAAAGTCTGTGGTTTGAGCCCACCAGCCATACTATGGGAGAAAAAGGAGGCTTTCTGCTCCTGTGAAGATTTACAACCTTGGAAATCCTATGCAGGCTGGTTATAAGTCGAAACCAAGTTGACAGCACTTACCAACAACAAAAACAAAGGAAATTATAAGGAACCACAGTGGTGTACCTATTAAGTGCTTGATTGCGAACCTAAAGGTTGGCAGTTCAAACCCACCCAATGGTTCTGTGAGAGACCCTACGGGGCTTTTTACTTTGTCACATGGGGTTGCTATGAGTTGGAATCAACTTGACAGCACCCAAAAACACAGCAAGGAAATTATACATGTCTTTTTGAAAAGAATGCATGTTTTTGGTACGAGAAAAAAAAAAAATGGAGTGGGAATTAAGAGAAATAATATAATTCCTCAAACTTTCCAAAGTAAGTATCCTAATAACACGGAGGCTGAAACCTGGTGCTCTTTCCCCAGGTGAAGAAAATGAAGATCAGAGAGGTGAAGTGACTTGCCAGGGTCTACACAGCTGCTAGTCAATGGAAGGGCTGGGATTCAAACTAAGTCTTCTGGCTCCAAAAGCCAGGAGTCTCAGCCATTCCTCACTCAGTGAAAAAGAAGCCTGTCGAGGTGAAGAGCATGGACTTTGGGGTCAGTGTGACCAAACCAGAACCCAGTGCCCTCGAGTCAATTCTGACTTGTAGTGACTCTATGGGGCAGAACTACCGCTCCTTAGGACAAATCTTTACAGAAGCGGACAGCCTCACCTTTTCCCCACAGAGTGGCCAGTGAGTTTGAACTGCCAACCTTATGGTTAGCACCACCAGGAATCCTTGGGGCCAATAGACCTGGCTATGACACTTGCTAACCTTTCTCAGGCTCAGTTTCTTCCTCAACACAGTTATGAAGATTTGATTGGTGGTGATGGTTCTGTGTTGTGGAGTCGCTCCAACTCACAGAAACCCTGTATAGGATTGCTGAGGCTGTAAATCTCTATTTAAAGGGAGCAGAAAGACTCATGTTTCTCCCACCGAGAGGCTGGTAGTCTTAAACTGCTGACCTCATGGTTAGCAGCCTGACTCATAACCCACTACGCTATCAGAGCTCCTTGTTGTTAAGTGCTGCCAGTTGGTTCTGACTCATAGCAACCCTATACAGGGTTTCCAAGGAGTGGCTAGTGAGTTTGAACTGCCCATTTTTTGGTTGAAATTGACCTGGCGGTCCTGTGCCTTATCCCACAGCACCACAATAAGATCTCCAATATTCAGAGGGTTCACATGGTGCCTGGATTATCACATGTGCTAGGTAAGTGGAGGCTATTCTTATCTTTGGAATCCTTGGATGGTGCAGACTGTTAGCACATTGTCTGCTAACTGAAAGACTGGGGGTTAAGGTTCATCCAGAGGTACTTCAGAATAAAGGCCTGGTGATCAATCTACCTTTAAAAAATCAATCATTGAAAACCCTATGGAGTAAAGTTCTACCCTGACACATGGGGTCATCATGAGACAGCATCAACTTGACAACAACTAGTTTGATTATTGTCATTAATTTGCTGATGACATTCTGATATATATTCAGTAAGCCTTGTTGTTGTTAAGTTTCTGAGGAGCAGCCGGTGGGTTTGAACTGTCAACCTTTTGGTTAGCAGTCCAGTGCTTATCCTATAGCGTTACATCAGGAGTCCTTGTAAACCTTGTTGTTGTTATGCGCCATGGAGTCGGTTCTGACTCATAGCGACCATGTACAGGGTTTCCAAGGCTATAAGTCTTTACGGGAGCAGAAAGCCTCCTCTTTCTCTCGCGGGACAGCTGGTAGCTTCAAACTGCTGACTGTGAGATTAACAGCCTGATTTGTAACCATTACGCTACCAAAGCTCCTTAAAATATTATAAAATGTTACCAAAAAAATATGAATAATACAGTGTTGTTGTTTGGTGCCACCAAGTTGATTTTCCATAGCAACCCCATATGGCAAAATAGAACTTTCCCCTTGGCTGTAATCTTTACGGAAAAAGAGTGCCCGGTCTTTCCCCCATGGAGCTGCTCAGTGGGTTCGAACCCGAACCTCGGACCTATCCATTAGCAGCCAAGCACTTAAATGGTATACCTCCAGGGCTCCTAAATAACACATGCATAGAATACACAACAGCAATTGTGATCATTGTTATTAAATCATCGTAATCTACACTTTAAAGTAGAAAAAGACAGGATAACAAGGGTAGCCATTTTGTAACATTCAAAGAGAGATGTTGGAGCAGACAGGTGATACCTTTGGCTCTCAGAGCCCATTCCATCTCCTGGTAACAACATCCTATGCTTTCTTCCGGAATCCCCCTGGTCTCCCTCTTAGTTCATGTGGTTTGGAAAAGGCTGATACCCCAATCCAGGGATGGGAACATGGGAACATCACCCAGATCGGAGCCATCCTCATGGCCACAGAAATGAGTTGAGGGTTTACCAAGTCAAGACAATGTCACTGAGACCCCCCATCCCACCCATACCAACACCTGGGCCTGGACACCTGGGAAGATGGAAGCCTGGGCTGCAGAAGAGAGAATGTTAGCAAACAGAGCCAACACAAAGGGACATAGAGCAGAGAGAGAGAAATTCCATCCCTGTTGAGGTGTTTTGAGTCTGGACTCAGCATATACAAACCAGCAACTCCTGAACTTTTCAGTATGGGAGCCCCAGATTCCCTCTTTTGCTTAAGTCAGTCTGAGCTGAGTCTCTCTCCCTTACAACCCAAAATACAGACATTTGTCAGTAAAAATGAAGATACAATAGAGCGCTTCAGATCCAATAGCACAATCACCAGACCATGCGTGCCAAATAGCATCACCATTTCTCCAAATGAGACTGACGGTACCTGGTGTTGGTGTCCCGGTTTACATCCACTTGGAATTGAATCAGCCGATCCTTAAGATTTTGGGCTCGTTCACAAAGATCGTAATTGAGGGCCATGGTATCAAGGCAGAACATGGCCAAAGGCACGGTAATGTGCAGAGATGCAATTTCATTTCTCAGCTTCTTAATTTCATTGATCCTCTGTAGAAAGGAGCACATTCGGTGACTTGGTTTGCCTTTGAACCTCTACCCACTCACCCTTGGTCCCACCCTGGCCAAGTTTAAGTCCAATGTCAAGCACAGAATCCAAACAAGCACTGGTTATTCACTGGAGTAGCGGCAGCACATTCATGAGATGTGAAGTGGCGTCTCTTACCTTCACAAAATCCTCAATTTCATGCTTCTCTTTCAGGAACTCAGTGATATTTTGTTCTGCCATGTTATCCAACAAGTCATCATACTTCTTATAAACATTTAAGTATCTTCCATATTAAAACCATAAAATAAAACACACAAAGACAGGCCACCCAATCAGATTAGTCAGAGAGGCAAACTGAGTGATAAAATCTTAGTTTAACCCAATGGGAGTGACTGCTGATGGCTATGACATTTTTCTAGGGGGTTATAGCAGCTACGGAGTCCTGGTGTGGCACTGTGGGTTAATGCACAAGACTGCAAAGTTGTTTGAACCAAAAGGCCAGAGGTTCAAGCTCACCAGTCGCTTCTCGGAAACCCTACATGGGATTGCTATGGATCGGATCCAATTCGATGACACTTAACAACAACAACAACAATAGCAGCTAAGGTGAGCCCTGGTGTGGTGATGTAGGTTAAGCACTGAACTGCTAACCGCAAGATCAGCAGTTCAAACCCACCAGCTGCTCTCAGAAACCCTATGTTGGATCTCTCTGAGTCAGAACCAACTCAACGGCACATAACAACAACAGTAAGTAAGGTTTTGTGTCAGTTTTACTTGGCCGGAATTCTCAGTGGTTTGGCCATTAGGATGTAGTCATTCCCCATGGAGAGATCTAATAGAATGTAATCACCTTAAAGATGAGATCTGCTGAGAGCAGCCAATCAACTGAAAGGACATTTCCTCAAAGGTATGGCCAGCTGGATCTGGACCCTGCATCTGGTTCATCTTCCGACTTCTGGTTCTTTAGACTTGAGCCAGTGGCCTGCTCTATTGCCTGATCTTACCTGCCCACCATGCCTGCCTTCCCGTCTCATCTGCCAATTGTGGTTCATCTGATCCATGGACTTGGGACTTGCCCACCTCTACAGCTGTGTGAGTCATTGCTTTGATATTAACTTCTCTTTATAATATACATATACATATTCAAGGACTTCATTATTCTTGGATCAACTATCAACACTCACAGAAGCAGCAGTCAAGAAACCAAACAATGTATTGCATTAGGCAAATCTGATGCACAAGATCTTTTTAAAGTGTTGAAGAGCAAAGATGTCACCTTGAGGACTAAGGTGCACCTACCCAAGTCATGGTATTTTCAATCACCTCATATGCATGCAAAAGCTGGACAGTGAATAAGGAAGACCGTAGAAGAATTGATGCTTTTGAGTTATGATGTTAGAAGAGAATATTGAAAGTACCATGGGCTGCCAAAAGAACCAACAGATCTGTGTTGGAAGAAGTGCAGCCAGAGTGCTCATTGGAGGCCAGGATGGCCAGACTTCATCTTTTCTACTTCAGACATACTGTCAGGAGGGGCCAGTCTCTGGAGAAGGATATCATGTTTTGTAAGGTGGAGTGTCAGAGAAAAAGAGGAAGACCCCCAGTGAGATGGATTGCCAAGTGGCAGCATCAATGGGCTCAAGCGTGGCAACAATTGTAAGGTTGGCCCAGGACCGAGCAGTGTTTTGTTCTGTTGTGTATAGATAGGGTCGCTATGAGTCGGTACCAACTTGACGGCACCTAACAACAACAACAAGAAGCTTCATAGGTTTTGCTTCTCTAGAAAGCCCAGCCTAAGATAGGTGTGGTGATGGAAATGTTCTGGATAGATACATTAGATAGTGGTACATTCTTGTGGGAGTGCAGTGGCTCTGTAGGATAAGCACTGGACTGTGAACCACCAGCTCAGCAGTTCAAACCCACCCGCTGCTCCAGGTGAGAACGAGGCTTTCTGTTTCTGCAAAGATTTACAGCCTCAGAAATTCTACGGAGGGTTGCTATGAGTCAGCACTGACTCGACAGCAACGGAAATAGAATAGTCACATATGATCAAGAACTGATGCTACTGAAGAAAGAAATCTAAGCTGACTGAAGGCACTGATGAAAAACAAGACTCCAGGAATTGAAGGACTACCCACTGAAATGTTTATATACACTGACGCAGACCAGGAAGAAGCACTCATTAGTCTATGCCAAGAAATCTGAAGACAGCTACCTGGCCAATTGATTGGAACAGATCCTTACTTGTGCCCATTCCAGAGAAAGGTGGCCAGACATGTGGAGATTATCAGACAATATCACTAACATCACACACTAGTACAATTTTGCTGAAGATAATTCAGAAACGGTTGCAGCAGTCCATCAACAGAGAGCTGCCAGAAATTCAAGCTGGATTCAGAAGAGAATGTGGAACAAGGGATATCATTGCTGATGTTAGCTAGATCTAAACAGGGTCACCAAGAGTCAGAACCAAGTCGACAACACTTAACAACAACACCATTTACTGTCATAAAAAAAGAGCCAGGAGTACTGTGAGTCTTTGGGACCTGGGGTCCCTACACGGTGAAGATCCTAGATCCAAGGGAAGACTGGGGCCAACACACATACAGATCTTCAAGGAAAGCTGGGTCTATAGATACTGAAAGGAGACAAGGACTTTCCCCAGAGCCAACCAAGAGAAAGCCTTCCCCTAGCGCTGGCTGGCACTCTGAATTGGGGACTTCCAGCCTTGTAAAGTGTGAGAAGAGAAACTGGTTTGTTAAAGCTGTCCACCTGTGGGAGCCCCTGCTAGAGCAGCACCAGATAACTAAGGCCGGCTACAATAGGCTCAAGTACAGCAACCATCGTGAGGATGGTGCAAGACTGGGCAGAGTTTCATTCTGTTGTGTATTGGGTCACTGTGAGAGGAGTGACTTGAAGGTACCTAATAGCAGTGACAGCTCTCAGTATCCTGGTTTGGAAGTTATATTCTGTAGTCACTTTACACTATGTACATGTGGTAGTAGTGGTGGGTGGAGGTGTTGTTGTTGGTGGAGGTATTGTTGTTGTTGTTGGAGGTGTTGTTGGTGGTGGTGTTGGTGGTGGTGGAGGTGTTGTTGTTGGAGGTGTTGGTGGTGGTGGTGTTGGTGGTGGTGGAGGTGTTGTTGTTGGAGGTG